TCCCCCGCCCGCCGCCGCCCTGGCGCGCTTAAAGGGCCCGCGCTCCGGACGGCCGCTGGGCCTCCGCGCCTGCTGACGTCGTGGGGCCGCGGGGGCTGGAGCGAGGTGTCGGGAGAGGGACGGGGGAGCGCGAGCAGAAAGCCCCCAGATCCAAAGCCCCCTCTGGCTGTCAGTCTCGCTCTCCTCTCCAGGCTCGCAGCGGCCGCTCCAGAGGCCGGTGCGGCTATGTCTGTTACCGCAAAAGGCCAAAGTCAGAGCTAGGGGTTCAGAGACAGACGGCCACTGGCGGGCCTGATAGGTTAGAGGACCCCCGGTTTGACAAGACAGCAAGAAATAAGGGGAGGCAAGGGGTCCGACTGGCCTCGGCTACACTCACCGCAGCACAACTCAAGGCAAAATCAGATTTTCTTCTCCTGGGGGCTCAACTAATGCACACAGCGCAGACCCTTGACCCTGGTCGAGTTCTCATTTGCTGGGCCTCACCCTCCATCTGGTAAACAGAACTGCCACTTGAATAGGGACATTTGAGTCCAGGTCCCCGGTGGGGCAGGTCACTTCTCCAAACTGGGCTTTGCTGGAGTTTCACCTCTGCGAAACAGAATGAGCCATCCCTCCCTTATTTTTTTGTCTCCAAGAAAATTAATGAAGGCTTCCTATCAGTTTCCAAACCTGCCAATGAAAGGTTCCAGGACAGGGTTCTCAGGAAGATGATATTTACACGGTGCCATGCACAGCTCCAAATGATGACACATCACTCACACGCGGCATCCATCCCGGAAGCACAGCTCTGGAAAGAGTCTCATCCGTAATAACTGCATCTTCCCTCGGTCCTGAGGGGCTTAGTCACACTGGGAGCTCCACGGATCAGCTGGCCAAGCCACTGCCTTTAGGAGCCAGGAAGCTATGGTCTGAGAGGGTCAGGGGCTTGTCCAGGACCTCACATCCTCACCACTCCCTAACTTCCAACCTGGGCCCTGTTTCCCAAATAAGAGCTGACATTCTGCAGAGAACTGAATATTCTACCACAAGAGCAAACGATTGTGTCTTGGAAGGTTGTGCTTTAGGGGCAAACTTCATCTCACATACTCTGGGCATATAGTCAGAAGGGGCCAGACCCTGGAAGACGACATCATGCTGGGAGAATGTGAGCAAAAGAGAGAGGAAGACCTCCCACTAGATGGATTGGCACCAAGATTGCAACAATGGACTCTAGCAGGTCAGAGATTAAGAGAGTGGGGCAGGACAGGGCAAGGTTCCCATCTGACGTCACAGAGGCTATGTGAGTTGTAGTTCATCAGACGGCAGATAACAACTCCAGAGAGAGGGAGAGCTGGATAGCCGCCTCATTCGGATTTACAGCTCCGGAACGCCACAGGAGAGTTGCTGAGTCAGCACCAACCCAAGCAGTGGGTTCAAGTTGTGAGTTTCCAGGAAGGGACACACCTTTCTTCCATGCCCTGCTAGGATCTGGACATTGGTATTGCAGTCTATTTCAGTTCAATGACCCTTATACATATAAGAGATCAAAACCTTGGTTGATTCTACGCCGTTATTCTCATAATTGCTGCTGGGTTTAAGCCCGCTGTTGCGGTCATGGGGTCATTCCGTCTCATTGAGGGTTTTCCTGCCCTTCCCTGACCCTCTCCTTCTCCATGCACGATGTCTTTTTCCAAGGTCTGACTCATCCTGATAGCTTACCAAAAGCACTGTGAGAGTCCTTCTCCAGGAGAGTATGACTCTCGGGGATCCTGTAGAAAAGAGTAGATCTATCATTTTAGCTTTCTGAAGCTGTTTATCTGCATGAGAGGAGACCACTAAATCTTTCACCAACAATTTTCTCTA